CAGCCCCGCTTCCCTTCCAGCTCCCTGCCTGTGGCCTGGAAAAGCAGTCGAGGACAGCCCAAAGCTTTGGGACCCTGCACCCGCGTGGGAGACCCGCAAGAGGCTCCTGGCTTCGGATCGGCATAGCATCGACCGTTACGCTCACTTGGGGAGTGAATCATCAGATGGAAGATCTTCCCCTCTGTCTCTGCTCTCTGTATATCTGCCTTTCCAATAAAAAAAAGATAATAAAAATAAATCTTTAAAAAAAAAAAATCAGCCTGTTAAACTGGCTACTGTCCAGCTAAGTAATTGTATTTTTAAGCATACCAAAGAATTCATATAGCTTAGAAATACACTATTTTATTTAATCAATACTGTGCCTCAAAATTTCTACAGTGCTTAGAAAAATTAACATCCAGTTCTTTCAGTCACAAGTAGTGTAGACTTTGAAGCAAACTTTCCTCAGTGTAGCTTTATATAAGGTATAAGTATGTTAGGAACCAGAACTTTTGTAGAATGCCAATTTAATTCATCTTAAAATGCCTTTATTTTAAATTTTTTTAAGATCTCAGAAGTATACAGTACAGACTTCATAAAAACCACTTCAGAATCTCATCCAATTACAGGCTCTGATTTTAACAGCTAAGCCAATGCAAGCTCCACTCTTTTCAAGATGACAGTTTGGAGACTACTATTCTTTTTTTTTTTTTTTTCCGGAAAGGCGGATATACAGAGAGGAGAGACAGAGAGGAAGATCTTCTGTCCGATGATTCACTCCCCAAGTGAGCGCAACGGCCGATGCTATGCCGATCTGAAGCCAGGAGCCTCTTGCGGGTCTCCCACGCGGGTGCAGGGTCCCAAAGCCTTGGGCCGTCCTAGAATGCTTTCCCAGGCCACAGGCAGGGAGCTGGATGGGAAGTGGGGCCACTGGGATTAGAACCGGTGCCCATATGGGATCCCGGGCGTGCAAGGCGAGGACCTTAACCACTGTGCCATCGTGCCCGAGACTACTATTCTTAAAATATTCCAGACAGGGCCTGGTGCAATGGCCTAGAGGCTAAAGTCCTCCTCTTGAACGCGCTGGGATCCCAATATGGGTGCCGGTTCTAATCTTTCCTTGCTAAGCTTTAGTCTATCTACAAAATACAGACAAAGCAGTTCCTCTCTTATTGGGCTGAAAAGACTGCCCCAAAAAAGCACACAAACCACTCAGGACACTGTGAGGCATGCTCTACGTGTTCAACACATGTTGCCACTGGCTATGATCACTAAACCACTGCTGACAAGTCCTACCTGAGCATCTTAAACCCGAAGGCCCAGAACACTGTCTACTGTGTACTGTGCCTGAAAGATGCCAAGGTATATCTGTGCATGGGCAAAGCCCCTGTGGTCTCTCCAGCCTAAGGAGCAACAGGGGAAGGACAGAGGCAGCGAGAAGGAGCAGCCAAAAGGCCGAGAAAAGCCCGAATTAGGAAGGATAGCCCTGACAAGCAGAGAGCAGGAACACGGCTGAATTTTAACTTCTAATTTGTTCACAGCACTCCTGATGACTCAGATTGCAGGGGGTCGGCCTGTTCAGTGCTCAGTGTCTCCGGGGACTATAAGCTCCAGGTTCTGGGACAGGCTGCTGTTGCCCACAACGCATTAAACACCTTGTTAAAGGTCAAGCCAAATGCCCTTACATTTATCTCACCCGCACTTGGAAACATTAAAAATGTGGCACAATGAACACCATGAGCAGGTATTTGAGAAATTAGTGGGAAAAAATAAAATACACATATTTCTTAAAATAACTGATAAGACATAAAATACATAAGACTTAACAGTTTTACACATCAGCTTGTGGGTTAAGGTGACAGATATAATTTTGTTCTGTTGTGAAAGTCTCGTAAAACTATGTTAAAGAAGTATTTTTAAAGATAAAAGAACACAGGGCCCTGCGCGATAGTGTAGTGTTTAAAGTCCTTGCCTTGCCTTACACGCCGGGATCCCATATGGCTGCCAGTTCTAATCCCAGCAGCTCCACTTCCCATTCAGCTCCCTGCTTGTGGCCTGGAAAAGCAGTTGAGCACCGCCCAACGCCTTGGGACCCTGCACCCGCGTGGGAGACCCGGTAAGAAGTTCCTGGCTTCAGAATGGCACAGAACTGACTGTTGTGCCACTTGGGGAGTGAATCATCGGACAGAAGTTCTTTCTGTCTCTCCTCCTCTCTGTATATCCACCTTTCCAATAAAAATAAATCTTTTTTTTTTTTAATGTTTTTTTTTCTTTCCGGGTCTCCCCCACGGTTACAGGGTCCGAAGGCTTTGGGCCGTCTTTAACTGCTTTCCCAGGACATAAGCAGGGAGTTGGATGGGAAGTGGAGCTGCTGGGATTAAAGCCGGCGGCCATATGGGATCCTGGTGCGTTGAAGGTGAGAACCTTAACCATTACGCTATAGTGCCGGGCCCAAAAATAAATAAATCTTAAAAAAAAAAAAAAGACATAAGCTTATAACAGAAAATAGGAAGCAAAAAAAAATTTTTTTCTGAACTCAGGAGCAGCAGATGGCCTAGTGCTCACTGCCTTGGCAGGGCCCAGAATGTCCAATTTCAAGCCAAGAGGAGGAAGCTGAGAAGCAGCCCAGAAGGCACTGACAGGAGCAGCAGGTCCCAGCTCTCCCCCTCACACCGCACAACACTGAAGGTTTAGTCTCGAGAGGAAATGAAAACGAGAGCACAGAGGCTGCACTGTGAACAAAGGTGCCATACAGACGCTGAGGTCCAAGCGCAGTTACTGCCACCACCTAGGCCCAGGAAGGCCAGCAGCTACACCAAAACCTCCAAGAGGGACACGAGAACAGCTCTCTGCCTCCCACAACTAGTTCTACATAAAAGAGCCAGAGACTGACATCAGGGATTCCACAGTCACACAGGGAAACTCGGATCTGGTAAAGCACACCCACTTGCTCAGGGCTTCCAACTGCAGCTCCACAAGGCGCACTAGCTCCCTGCAAATGCCCGTGGGAAAACAGCAACATGGCCCACGTGCGTGGGTCCCTGCATCAATGTAGGAGATCCAGAAAAAGATTCCAGCTCCTGCCTTTCAACCAATCCACCCCACCTGTTGCAGTCATTTGAAGAGTGAACTAACAGATGGAAGACATTCCTCTTTTGCTGGGACCGTTGCCCTCTAACTCCCCTGACTCTGGTCTCTACAAATCTTTCAAATAAATAAACCTTAAAGAAAAATTGAAAACAGGGGCCTAGTGCTACGGTCTAGCAGCTAAAGTCCTCTCTTTGAATGCACCTGGGATCCCATGTGGGCACCAGTTCTAATTCCAGCAGCCCCGCTTCCCATCTTCCCTTCCAGCTCCCTGCTTGTGGCCTGGGAAAGCAGTCAAAGATGGCCCAAAGCCTTGGGACCCTGCGCCCATGTGGGAGACCTGGAGGAAGTTCCTGGCTTCAAATCGGTGCAGCACTGGCCTTTGCAGTCACTTGGGAAGTGAATCATCAGATGGAATATATTTCTGTCTCACCCCGTCTCCATATATAAATAAATCTTAAAAAAAAAAAAAAGAAAACAAAACAAAGTGTATACCACAAATATTCAATGGATGCAAACAATAGCTCATAACATCAAAACTTTCAGGGCCCGGTGCCGTAGCCAAACAGTTCTAAAGTCCTCGCCTTCAATGTGCTGGGATCCCATTTGGGCACCAGTTCTAATCCTGGTGGTGCCGCTTCCCATCCAGTTCCCTGCTTGTGGCCTGAGAAAGCAGTCGAGGACAGACCAAAGTCATGGAATCCTGCTCCCACATGGAAGACCTGGACGAGGCTCCAAGCTATGGCTTCGGACTAGCGCAGCTCTGGGCACTGTGGCCAGTTAGGGAGTGAATCAACAGATGGAAGATCTTCCTCTATGTCTCTCCTCCTCTCTGTATATCTAACTTTTCAATAAAAATTTAAAAATCTTTTTAAAAAACTTTCAGAGACAGAGAAAAATCCATAAACTTACAGCTCAGTCCAAACCACTCCTACACAAAGAATCAAGAACCAAGGGCTGGACTGATTGATCAGTTGGTTAATTCTCCACCTTCAAGCACTGGCATCCTACATGGGTGCTGGCTCCTGCCCCAGCTGCTCCACTTCCCTCCCAGCTCCTGCTCACGGCCTGGGAAGGCAGTAGAAGATGGCCTAGGTCCCAGGGACCCTGCACCTCTATGGGACACCCAGAAGAAACTCCTGGCTCCAGGCTCAGTTCCAGACATTGTGACCATTTGGGGAGTGAACCAGTGGATGGAGGCTCTTTCTCTCTGGCTTTCCATGTCTCCGTAAATCTCCCTTTTCAAAATAAATGCCGCTGAAATGTGGATCTTCGTTCACAGCTGCTCTGACGCTCTTCTGATCTGATCCAATCCTAAGGTCTGGAAGGCAGCTCTGAAGACGTGAGACCCCGGAAGCACAGTTCTCAGCTGTGCCTCGTCAGGTAAGCCCTGTGTTTTCCCACGCTATCCCCCTGACCCTGCCACTGCCCGGACCAGCAGAGCTTCTTGAAACCATTCACACAACGACCCTGAGGTCTGCTGGGATTCTCTCGTATAAGATTGCAACAATAATGGTACACTGACTGATACTTAGAAACCTGCTTTCTTTTTTTTTTTTTTCTCTCTCTCTTTTTTTTAAAGGCAGCCTCCTTGATGCTTCACTGAACATGCTTGATGGCAAAACTAAGAGAGAAAATAAAGAAAAGGAACTGGAGTGTGTATGACCTAGGGTGGGTGCTCTGGGAATTCGCCACTTAGCAATGTTCTACCTTCCTATCGTAGGCACCAAGCAACTCGCGTGCACCTGGCTGCTTTCACACACCCGTCCTTTACATTCTGAAAAGCAGTCCCAATACACCTACCCTTCAAGCCAGAGTTCCCACCACTCACCACTAGCGCAGCTTATTTGACCTCAACAGCACAGCAACATCAACCATGAAGAGAATGGGCTTCACTGAAAACATACAAAAACATTCAGACCAGATTTACTTACATTATGAGTCTCCGATTTAAGAACCAGTATTTCCTCCGGCTTCGGTCATATCCGATGGGCTCATGTCGAATGTACGGCTTATTTTTTTGGATTTCAGCAACACAGTCAGTCACACCAGGCACCTTGTGTGCTACACAGACTTCACACTGCCACTCGTCCTCTGGCACCTCCTCCAGAGGCGGCTTCACACATTCCAAATGATACACTGCCGAACACGTCTCACAGCAAAGTAAATCCCCAAGTTTGTGACAAACCCTACAGTGGTCATCGTACTGGATCACTCCTTCCGACATCAACTCCTCCCGAGCAATATTTGTCGTAAGAAACTGATCGACCAGAAACTGCAGGACTTTGATTTTGTTCTCCACGGGTCCATAGGGATAGTCCTCCACCTCCTGGTAAGGAAGCACGTGATGGTACTCCTTGTCGCTCTCACAGTACACCCGCAGCACCTCGGGCCACGTCATCCCGTCTATGAAATACAGTGTGGAATTCACACTATCTTTCAGGTCAGCAGGGCCAAAGGTAGTATTGGAAGTGTCTTCTTCGCGCAGGACTGCTTTCAGAAGCACAACGTGCATCTCGGCCATGAGCGTGCACTGCTCCTGGCTCACCAGAGCTGCACAGAAGTCCTCAAAGCGAAAAGGAGACAATCTTAAAACAGTGCCAAAGTTCCGCAGTACCTCGTAAATGGCAATGACATTCATTATATGCTCATTAGGCACCATTAAATCCTCAGAGGACTTGGGAAATTCAAGGGGTGGGATATCTTTTTCTTCCAGTATTGGAGAACGAGGCCGATGTGCTCTTGGTTTCCGCCTACCTGCAAATGAAGAAATGGTATTATAAATCAGTCACTGCATTGGATCCTTCCCATCAAGGATTCTCTAGTTTCTTTCAACTCAACATGTACCTCAAAATACAGATAAGTACACTTCTATCAATCACTATAAATAAATTCTCAAGTTACAATAATACCAAGAGGTGATTTATCTTCAATTTTAACATGTACAAAAAACTTACATTTCAAGTTTCCCAATAGATTCCAAGGAAGTTTATAAAAAATCTGAACTGTAGGCCCCACCAAGATAACATAATAGCTAAATTCTCGCCATGCATCTGCCAGGATCCCAAATGGGTGCCAGTTTGTATACTGGCTGCTTCACTTGCCATCCAGCTTCCTGCTTGTGTCCTCGTAAAGCAGCAAAGGACGGCCCAAAGCCTTGGGATGTTACACCCACATGGGAGAGCCCAAACAAGCTCCTGGCTCCTGGCTACAGATCGGCTTGGCTCCGACCACTTGGAGAGTAAACCAGCAGATGAAAGATCTTTCTCTCTGTATCTCCTTCTCTTGGTATATCTGCCTTTCCAATAAAATTAAATAAATAAATAAATAAGTGGAGAAAGAAAGAAAGAAAGAAAGAGAGAGAGAGAGAGGGAAAGAAAGAGTCTCTTTTCAAAATCTAAATTATAATCAACTCAATTACCTAGAGATTAGCTGGTTTATCTTTAAAAAAGAAAAGTGAAAGATTTGTGAAACATCTGACAATATGAAGAAAAAATTCTATGGGTAAGATAAGCAGCTCAGGAGCCACAGCTCGTGACAACTGCAACTCAAGAGAGGCCTGTCCACAGAGACAAAGGTCCCCAGACAACCCTTGTCTCAGCCGAAGTGCTTTTCAGGGAGTTCCTCAGCTCAAAGCAGAAACAAAGGAAAGCAAGAGGGTGAAGGAGAACAGAAGTTGCAACAAAAGGAAAGCAAGAGTGTCTCATCTAGGAAGCAAACAAGATTCTATTAATGGCCAGTTAAATAACTTTCAGGCACAATTTGTTCCACAACTTGAGACAATGATCAGGCATGTGCATATGTGTATGTAAATGAATCACTGCAAGGATGGGTCAAGCAGAAACCAGGAACCCAATCCTGAGTTCCCTCATGGCAGCAGGTGCCCAGCTATGGAAGCCATCACCTGCAAACTCACCACATGCCTGTCAGCAGGAAACTGAAAAAGCGAAGGCAGATGAAATTCAAATCCAAGTGCTCTCATGTGGGATGTGGCCAGCACTAGGCCAAATCTCATCCCCAGTTAACTTTATTTTGGTGCAAAACACTTTAGAAATCCACATAAACTAAGGGATCTTCAAAGAGTTCATGACTCTGTCCCTCAAAAGCCGGAAGGGAGCATCTGGCGGAGTGATGAAAACGCCCACATCAGAGGGTGCCTGCATTCAGAGCCTGGCTCCGGCTCCGGCTCCTGCCACGATCACCTTTCTGGCACAGCATGGAAGGCAACAGTGATGGCTGAAGGAACTAACTCAACCCACCCACCTCAGACACTTGGAATTTTTTTTTTTTAAGATTCATTTATGTTTATTGGAAAGGCAGATTAATAGAGAAAAGAAGAGACAAAGATCATACCTTCACTGGTTCACCCCCCAAGAGACAGCAACGGCAGGAGCTGAGTTGATCCAAAGCCATGAAATTCTTTCACATCTCCCACACAAGTGCAGGGTCCCAAGGCTTTGGACCATCCTCTACTGCTTTCCCAGATCACAGGCAAAGAGCTGGAAGGGAAGTGGAGCAGCCAAGAGACGACCAAAGCAGGTTAAAAGAGCCAGCTCCACTGCTGGCTCCAGCTTCCCGCTGATACACAGCCCACCAAACAGCACGTGATAGCTCAAGCAGGAGTGGCAGATCCAGACTGAGCTCCCTGCTTCATTGCATTTCGGACGTGAGAAGCCAAGAGATCTCCCTAACTTTAAATAATTTTAGAGCCTGGAATTTTGTATTTTATTTGCCTTTTTAAACTAAACATTTTCTTTTTTTTTTTTTAATATTTTGGCAATCTTTACATTGCTGATAAGGGTAAAAAGTTACAAGGGCTAAAGGGAATACTGAGGAGAAGCCCCACCCAGTCTCCCACCCACCCCTGATGCCCTGAGATCCTTGCTCAAGTGGTTCCGGTAGTTCACCAGTTATGCATTGCTGCCAATCTCGCCACTCCAGACTCGATGAGGCTGTTGAATAATCTACTGATTGACATAGTCCATCATGGAGTCTCCCTTTGTCCAGTATTAAACTAAATTTAAGAGCCCAGTGTGATAGCTTAGTGACTAAATTTTCGCCTTGCATCTGCCAGGTCCCATATGGGTACCAGTTCGTGTCCTGGCTGCTCCACCTTCCATCCAGCTCACGAATTATGCCCTGGGAAAGCAGTGGAGCACGGCAAAAAGACCTGGGACCCTGCACCCATGTGTGAGACCTGAAAGAAGCTCCTGGACCCTTGTTTCGAATTGGCCTAGCTCTAGCCATTGCAGCCATTTTGGGGGTGAGCCAGTGGATGGACAATCTTTCTGTCTCTCCTCTCTGTATATCTGCCTTTCCAATAAAAATATACAATAAATCTTTTAAAAAATCACCTAAATTTAAAATCATAAATGAACTATGATATATGTACAGAATAGAAAATCTGGCAGTTGAAAAGAACAAGGTAAAATTCACATTTGCTAAAATGAAACAATCTTTCAGAACAATCTTTAATATTTTTAATGTATATATTGAACAACATATAGTATGATGTCATCTACTAAAGACACTAGAAGAAAAAAGGAGACAATGATAAAATACATTCATAGGGGCTGGCACGATAGTGTAGCAGCTGTTTTGCTCTGGTCCAGCTTCCTATTACTGCAGAACAGCCCAAGCTACGTGGAACCCCAGATGAAACTCCTGGCTCCTGGGCTCGACTAGACTGAGTCCCAGTTGCTGCGGCCATTTGGTGAATGAACCAACAGATTGAAGATCTCGTTCTCAGCCTCTCCCTGTAACTTTGTCCTTACAAATAAATCTTAGATAGATAGATAGATAGATAGATAGATAGATAGATAGATAGATAGATAGAGTTCTGATTTGTCCCTCTAGCTTTCCCTGATTTGGGGGTTTTCCGGGGCTAGGGAAGAGCACACCGAATTCAAAGATCAGCTAAGGCCACTTATAGGAAGAGGAAGCCTGTGACATAAGAGTATTGAGTCCTGGGCCCCGGCAGCATGGCCTACCGGCTAAAGTCCTCGCCTTGAACGTACCGGGATCCCATATGGGCGCCGGTTCTAATCCCGGCAGCTCCACTTCCCATCCAGCTCCCTGCCTGTGGCCTGGGAAAGCAGTCGAGGACGGCCCAAGGCCTTGGGACCCTGTACTCATGTGGGAGACCAGGAAGAGGTTCCTGGCTCCTGGCTTCGGATCGGCATAGCATCAGCCGTTGCACTCACTTGGGGAGTGAATCATCGGATGGAAGATCTTCCTCACTGTCTCTCCTGCTCTCTGTATATCTGACTTTGTAATAAATAAATAAATCTTTAAAAAAAAAAAAAGGGTACTGAGTCCTGCTGGGAGCAGGTTTATCTTACCCTGCTCAGAACTGTCCATGTGTCTGATACTTGTAAGACACAGGGGGATGTACAACTTCTTCCTTTAGAAACACATTATAGAGAGAGATGCCTTACGAGGTCTAGAAGTCCAAAAACATGCCTTTTAGGCTCAATACAATAAACATTTGGGGTCAACTCTGGAAAATCTGCAATGGCTGCTGGGTTTTAATCTTGTTACAACTGCAGCCCTGGCTCTCCACCAGGGTCCAAGTCACTGGAGACCTGGATGAAGCTCCTGGCTGTTGGCTTCAGCCTGGTTGTGTCTCGGCCAATGCAGCCATCTGCGGAGTGAGCCAGCAATCGGAAGATCTGATTCTCCCTCTCTCTGTAACTCTTGCCTTTCAAGTCAATAAAGAAATCATAGGAAATATACTTGGGGCTGTTGTTCTCATACCAGTTGTTAACCTTGTTTCATGCCTTCTCAATTATGGAAATATATAGTGATGGAGTACTGGGGTCTACCATATGCAGATGGGGGGTGTATAATGCAACAACATGCATCCCTGCTTCCAGACGAAAGATGGATTTCCAATGAGACTGTTGGACATGTGAAGATAATGGGATGCTGGACTGTCACTGTTTGTACCAAAAATGTCGGGGTACACTTAAATAACAGATTGATAGAATTATGATCCCTCATGAAGGATGACACCATTGTAGTAAAGTGTGGAAAATCGTCGGGGGGTGGGAGTTTGAGGTGAATCCCAGCCTATACAAAATTGTACCACATAATTCAAAATTCAAAACAAAAATATACTAAAATAATAAAAAAATTAATAATACTTGGACCCATTTTGGTAGTTCTAGTGGCTAAAGTCCTTGCCTTGCATGCACAGGGATCCCATATGGGCGCCAGTTCATATCCCTGCAGCCCCACTTCCCATCCAGCTCCCTGCCTGTGGCCTGGGAAAGCAGTGGGGATGGCCCAAAGCCTTGGGACCCTGCACCCATGTGGGAGACCTGGAAGAAGTTCCTGGCTCCTGGCTTTAGATCAGCACAGCACCAGCCGTTGCGCTCACTTGGGGAGTGAATCATCGGATGGAAGATCTTCCTCTCTGTCTCTCCTCCTCTCTGTGTATCTGACTTTGCAACAAAAATAAACAAATCTTTAAAAAAAATTTAAGTCTTTAAAAAAAGGTCAGATGTTTCTGAAACCATAAAAAAAAACTTTTTAAATTTTTTTTAGATTTATTTTTATTGAAAGGCAGATCCAGAGAGAGAAAGACAGAAAAATCTTTGATCTGCTTATTCACTCCCTAAATGGACGCAACAGCTGGAGCTAAGCCTATCCCATAAGGGATCCTGGTGCTTGCTGGGGGAGTATTATTAGCCAATTGAGCCATCACACTGGGCCCAACAATTTCCTAATTTTTATTATTTTTATAATATTTTGAA